CTCAAATTCACAATTCTCCTGCCTTAGCCTCCTGAGTGTTGATATTACAAATGTGTATCACCACACCCAGCTAGGGTAGCAGTTTCATAAAGACATTGAAAATGTTAAATGCGATGTAATTCTCTATGAACTAAAACCATTGCATTTTAAGCTTTACAAAATATATAAGCCATTTAAAAAAATAAGGTGCACATACTGTTAAGGAAAGAAGCCAGTTAGTTGAGGAGAGATGTGTCCTGACAATAATCGCTAAAAGGTTTCTGAGAGGAGTCCCATAGAAAAGTTTTTTTTAAAAAATGTGGTAATACTTTTTGCAACGTTTGATAAAAATCCAAGGATAGAGCAATTGTCAATTAAAATAGGAGGATGAGGGTGAAGGTAGGAGAGAAGGCCTTGAGTCAGTGGTTCTCTGCTATCTTTTCCAACACCTGGGTGACAAACATTGGCAATTGAAGCCATTGTATCTGGGTTTCTCTGAGGCCCTGGAGGGAAGTATGCTTGGAAGAGAAGGTGATGGGAAGTCCTCCTGAAATGTAACTCCACACAATCCTGTAGTGTAAGTTAGCAGTATCTATGCAAATTTATACTAGACATATTCTCCAACCCAGCAATTCCACTTCTAGAAAGCAAGGTATGTAAATGCACATGCCAATTAGTAGGAAGGTAACTACAAAAAAGAAAAAAGCAATGGACTTCTTTTAAAATGAGATAGCACACATTTGCATTTTTTTCTGCACTTAGGCTCCATGAAAATATCTTCATTTCATTCTTGATCTCTGGACATGTAGCCTCAACATTATTTTGAGCTCCATATAAATATCTATGTATAATCTTTAAAAAAATTAAAGGTTGGGTGCTGGTGGATCTGGCAGGTGCTGGTGCCTCACTTCTGTAATCTTAGCAACTCAGCTGAGATATGAGGGTCCTAGTTTGAAGTTCAAAGATAATTAAAAAGATCTATGAACAGGGTAGCTGTCTTTAAAACTTGAAAAAAGTTATTGTTAATATCTGTATTTTGTAAGCAGTAAATATTCTCTCAGTTTACCTTGATTCATATTGAGAATCAAAAGAAAATTAAAAGAATTAGAATAGTCTTCAATATATGCATGTATTGTACCTCACAAATCAGTACAATATTGTCAAAAGAAATTAAAAACACTGTAACAATAAGATATACAAGACACTATGTTGAAAATGAACTTTATAACCTGGGGAGAAGGGAGGAGTTGGGGAGGTGGGGAGGATGGAAGGGGAAAAACAAAGAGGGGGTAAATGATCAATAGGAAATGTACTCATTACCTTACTCATGTAACTGTAACCCCTCTGTACTGTATCTTTATAATATAAATATATTTTTAAAAAGAAATTAAAATAAGAATTAAGAATTTGGGTTTTTCAAACATAAAAACTTCAAGAGTATTTGCAAAAAGAAACTAATTCTTATTTGTTAGGAAAATTACACAAAATAAAATAGTCTCAAGTAGATAATTCACAGAGCAAAATTATGAGTTTTGCAACCCAATTTCCAGTTAGGTTGACTCAGTAATACATATAAAATGAGCCATTTGAAGAAAAAATGTTGATCCTCAACCTAATGTATTATACTAAAGAATTATAAGCATCATATATACATAAACACATGCACACAAACACACACACACATACACACAAATAGATATATTTGACTCAGTTGGTTAAGAGAGAAAGACATTCTGAGAATGAATATTAAATTCCAAGACAAAAATTACTTAGAAAAACACTGAAAGATCTGAATCCATAACGGTTTTTAATTTCATTCATTAAAAGGTAGCATAAGCAAACATAAACAAGGTAGAAAGTATCCATTTTTGTTTTATTTTTTTTTTGCAGTTTGAACACTTACTTAGGCAGGCACTCTACTGCTGATCAATGCCGCCAGACTTTTCATACAGTACATATTTTTCAGATAGTATTTCTCTTCCTTCTTCCCTGTCTCTCCCCTCTTCCTCTCCCTCTCCTCTGGCTTCTTAGTGGTTAACTGGAGGTAAGAACCTTAGGGCTTTTCCTGCCCAGGTTCACTTTGAATCATGATCTTCAGATCTCAGACTCTTGAGCAGCTAGGAATACAGACGTGAGCTACTAGTGTCTCACTTTTTGCTGGCCCAAGCCTGCACTGTGATCTTCCTATTTTATGCTTCCCTCTTTAATTGGGATGACAGTTATGTGTCACAGCAGCCAGTGGTTGAGAAAGACTCACAAACTTGTTGGCAGGGCTGGCCTTGAATTCTGATACTTGTAATGTTAGCTTTCTGAGTAGCTAAGATTATAAATGTGTGCCCATGGAGCTTGAGAGAGGTTTTAATATACTTTAATATAATATTCATACACACTGATAAGAAAAGCCATAAAACCAGAGTTTAATGAGCAGAGCATATTTAACTATAGGAAAAAAAGCCTCAGAAAAGTTATTTTTAGCAGCATATAAACAAAAGCAAGGTGCAATTTAATATCTTAGTAGGTTAGCAATATTTTTTCGGTCAGAATATTTAATGGCATGGATGTTAATGATGATGTAGTACTTTATATATTCCTGAATAAATCAACACACTGTAATGCACTGTGACTATGGGTGAAGTACAAAATTTTTAGGCTTTAGTTCCTTACATGTATTACATCATAACTGTCTCATAGAGAGCTTAGGTGTATTATTAATGATAATATTTGTAAAAGGCAGAGCACAGGCAGAATCTGACAAAGTTTGATTTTAATTATTAGCATTTATGATCATATATATATGTGTATGTGTGTGTGTGAGAGAGAGAACCACCTACTAAGACATTAAACATTACAGTTTCTCATTCAAATTTACTAATTTATTTGGAGGGGGGAGTCAGTTTTTACATAAAATTTCTAGCCCTATTAAAATACAATGGAAATATTTCATTTTGAGAAAACTAGTTATTTGTATGATAACTTTAAGAAAGAATTTCTGCCTAGGTGAAGCCTGTAGAGTAGAACTACATGTTTTCTCATGATGCTGATAATATTTGCTGTGCACTTTAGGTCACTTAACAATCACACAGACATGATGAAAATGCTTAGAAATTGATGTCTTCATGTTTCAAGTTGCCTGGAGATAGGAAATCTCTTAGGAACAGCCAAATAGAAATATATCTGTACATTCTTATCTACCCATTTTATCTTTAACGGGGTAGAAACAAAACCATGTGCTATCTTGAGTAAGGAGTCAATTGTATTTGAAGTCAAAAGACCAATGAAAATCAAGACTTCTGTTTCATATATACTCATACTGCTAGGAGGCATTTGAACAATGACTAACTTGAAGCATTTCCAGACTTCAAAAAAAGTGGCTTCTATATTTAAGGTCTGTTCAGCAAGAACCATGGTGTACTGGAATTAGGACGTATTATATCAGAACAATTAGTCTTCTCTCAAAAAAAGAGAGAAGTATGACTTTTAGTTTTCAATATAGAGCTAATAAAAATCACAGTGGCCACAAAAGAGGTGGTTTCTACAAAGACAAATAGAATCAGGGAAGGAAAGAATCGTTAAGCAGTAAGAAAGAAAACATTTTCATAAATTTTGTTTTCATTGTAGTGAATTTTTTGGTTATGGTGATAGCTGCAAGGTGAACCTAGGAGTATCCAGGACTGCCTGCCTGAAAAGTGCTGTACAACAATGGTTCTCATATATTATCTCTTAAATTGTAATTAAGTTGAAGGAGGGTAGAGAGAACGAAACAGAGGACCAGTTTGTATTTCTCCTAAAATGAATGCTTTGTGTACTATTTTATTAATAATTAATCTTTATAACATAAAAATAGGGAAGTTTAAAAACTTCTTCTAGTCACAAAGGAAAGATAGTAGGCGGTAGAACTCATATTCAAACATTGATGGCCAACCACTGATTTTCCCACTATTTTTCAGGAATGAAAAGGAAGAAAAAGTAAAGAAGTGAAAGTTGAGGAAAAGATGTAAAAGAAAACATAGTAATGTCAGAAAAGTAGTCTTCATTGAATTATTGAACAATCCTAATTAACTCAAGCTTTCATTCCAGAACATACAAACTAGCAAAGTATTCAGGTAAATGAAAATGTTCCTAAATTTATGAAAGATCTTTTTTTCTTTAGGGAATGATTATCATTCAGTTTCTTTGGAGCACTAAAAAGAGGCTTTAAAAGTGATTAAATATAGACATACTTTAAAATATTCAAGTGTTATGTACATTGAGATTTCCCTGCTTTATATCCTAGATTCTTAAAACCTTTGATAAGTCATTATTAATGACCAAATTTATTTTCCTGTAGATTTGTGTAATGATTATTAATACTCAATAAACATGTAACCGTGTGTGTTAGTTCCTTTCTTTATGACTGACAAACTAACAGATATAATTTAAGAAAGGATAAACTTATTTGGAGTCATATTTTCAAAGGGTTCTGTTCATGGTCTCCTGAATTCAGTTCGTTGTATGTTACCCAAACACTCAGGAGCCATTGTAATTGTAGTCCACGGAAGCCAGATTATGTTTTATTTTAACCCTTGATGTTCATTATGTTTAAAAAATATCCACCCTAAAAATCCATGTTTCTCTTCATAAAAATTATATAATATGTAAGTTCTAATCTTCAATGGTTTGTGATCTTTCAATAATATTTGAATGAGATTATCTCTATAAATGTGATATTTCTTAAAAGTGAGGCAACTAATATGTACACTGAATAAAAACAGTTATATAATTAATTTAGAGAAGTTTTAGAGTAAAATTATCACTAACTTTGTTAAATCTCATTAGTCCCTTAAATTCAAAAATATTTCAACCGAAAGTTTATTATTATTATTTTTTCCAGTCATGGGGCCTGAACTCTGGGCCTGGGTGCTATCCCTCCCTCCCTTCCTTCCTTCCTTCCTTCCTTCCTTCCTTCCTTCCTTCCTTCCTTCCTTCCTTCCACCCTTGCTTTCTTCCATCCATATCTTTTTCTTCACTTTTTCTTCTTTTCCTCCTTTCTTCTTTCCATCCTTCATTCCTTCTTCCTTATTTTAAAAGCTCAACTTGCCAATGGAGAATGTAGTCAATTGTGTATTCCTAACTCATCAACCTTGTCAGTTTTATGCAGTGGCTTTATATAACAGCACTCTTCTGATTGTATCAATCCTAGGCTGGATAGTTACCAAAAGACAGGAAGGAAAAGGCTTCAACTTCAAAGCTCAGGTCCTAGATATCAGTTTTTCACTCCCAGAATCAAAGAAAAAGTTTCCAGGTTTATAATATCTAAGTGAAAGGAAATGTATAAAATTGTATAAATTTATATAAATGTATAAAATATGAATAAAATGTATATAAATGTATGTATATAGGTATATAATATGTATGAAAATGTATGCAAATTGTATAAAAATAATAGTAAAATTCTTATATTTACACAGGTTAACTATATCTCTACTAAAATACATTTTGGGAGGGGGGAGATGGGAAGGGATGGTAAGGGGAAGCAAAGGAGGAGGCCACAATGCTTGATAAGAAATGTACTCATTATCTTGCTCATGTAATTGTAACCCCTCTGTATGGTATTTTCACAATAAAAAAGAAATTTATACTTTAGTTAAAAAAATAAAATAAAATACATTTTATTTGCATAACAAACATTCTATCTAGCTAGCTAGCTAGGTAGCAGGACAGAGCTAGGCTCACACCTATAATCCTGTCTACTCAGAAGGATCTCTATTCAAAGTCATCCCAGGCAAGAAAATCCAAGACACTCTTATCCTAAATTAACAACAACAACAAAGCAAGAAGTGGACCTGTCACTCAAGTGGTAAAGCATCAGCCTTGAGCAGAAAAATCATGAAACCCTGACAACCTCTTAGTACCAGCACACAAAAACACAAAAATACAGTTTGTTAGTAAGATGGAAATAATACTCTAGTAAGTAATAATCTTTCCAATTTGGCTTTATTTCATATGTATTTATTCCTCCATTCATTAAAAAATACAATGTTAATTCCTTGTCAAAAAGCTATCCTTTTGTAGAAAAAAAACTTGTCTATATGTTTTATAATTAGCACTAAATGTATAAAGAGACTTAGAAAATAATAAGGAGCAAACTGAAACAATTTTAATTTTCTTTGTTTAGTGTCTGTCTGCTCTTATATATCATTTGTATAAAGACTAAATAAAAATGTTTGCCTTTAACATGTTTCACCTAATAGAATGTACAAAGAAACCAAAAAGGATTTGGTAATACACAAAATTATTTGAGCATTTATACATAAAATGCTAGAAACAATGAAGATAGTAAGAGTAACTCACACAGTAAGCAGCTTTTTGTTTTGTTTTGTAGGACAGGTAGATAGATTGTTTAATAATCAACTTATCATGCAGGGATTATTATAAACTAATAGTCCACTTCATAAAAATCCTAGTAATACTTGAATTTTTAGCAAGGAATGGGCCAGGAAAATGCATAATAATTTTTTTGTGCTTAACACATTTGCCATTTTTAATGTATATAAGAATACTCTGATTCAGCTACAGTTGTAGAAAAACCTAAAAAATAATCTTCAAAGAATTATGAATAAATAGCCCTTTTGAACTCCCAGCTAACCAAGAAAATTGCTAACATGTTCTGATTGGAAAAAAGAGAACTTTCAAAATGACAATTCCTTATGGCAAGTAGTTTTCTAAAGCAATGTTCAAAGATAACTGCTATATTAAATAAGAAATTGTCTTATAGCACATAAAAGTAACGCAAAATTCTTATAGGCTTATGTTAGAAACCCATCTATTAAGCGGAATGCAGTTTTTTCAATGGCCATACATACCTATATGACTAGCAGAAACCATTCATCATCATTCAGTAAATAGATATGTTAATTTACCTCTAAGTTCTACGAAACTCTCTAAAGAACTTTTTACAGCATGAAATACCAACTAAATTCAAGAAAAAATCATTACCAAAGACATACTTACTTCTAACCACCTGATAACAAAGGAAGATAAAAAATTCTCAATTTTCTCCACTTACCCAGGAGTTGTGCAATGATATAAAGAGCCTGTCCCCAGAGAAACAGTTTTCCATCACGACCACAGTTGCTAGGAAATCGTTTTTGACTACCAGGATCTCTTTTCTCATATTCTACAAAGTCAGCAGGCACATAATAGTACTTTGGTACGACAGGATATCCTACAGAGTTTAAAAATAAGCACATATAAAATATAACACATCAATGTCCTCCCAAAAATCCCTTAAAAATCTGCAATGACTAAATAACACAGAACAGTGATCCAGAGTTAGCAGATTTGAGAATCTTTTGAAAAATGGGCTTTCTGGTTCCTGTAATAAATATTGTCTTTAAAACTTAACAGCTAACTGTTAAACGTTACTCAGCAATGTACACATCTTATTTAATATTTCATTTTAACATCTGTAAATGAATCACCAAATATGCAAATATTTAGCAGTTTAAACCAAGCTATATTTAGTAGGATTAATCTATTGAAGCTTCAGAAAGGATACTGTATAATCTTAAGTGAGTGATTCTAACTCTAAGTCATTCCTTGGAGCAAAAAATTTTCTAAAAAGTCCTATTTAAATATTAAGCCCATCATCTGCCAGTCAAGATCACTGAAAGAAAAAGCCCTTCTTTCCTTGTGACCAACCCATTAGAAAATATTTCTTGGAAAAAGGAAATTATTATGTAGAGGATAGAATCTATTGAAGACATTTTGCAATATCAACTCAAAGCAAACCTAATTTTCTTAAGAAAATCATGCATTTTCCCCCAAAATTTGCTTCCTTCTTTGTGTATTGATTAATTACTTCCAAGCTCCCAAGATACCTAGAACATGGAATTTCTTTGAGGATTAATTTATTCAGAAAAATCACTTTTATTCTTTTACTGTCCCCATTGATATTTGTTCTGAAACCAATAAATCCATTTTGACCATTTAAAAACATTAAATCCATCCTTAAAGGATGAAATTTAACACAATGGCAGACATTCAATATACAGTGCTAATGATCCTACAGAAGCAACACTGAAGAGAAGGCTAGAAAGTTCATGGCAATGCTATTGCCTTTGGATGAGAGCAGAGCCTCTGCAAGTAGCCTACTGGGTTATGAAGCAGTACTCACCTGATCACATAAGTTTAGATGACCTGGATAAAAAATAAGGCATTTTCTAATACTGGCACACTACAGAGTAAAGGTGTTACACAGTAACAGTTAAAAAAAACCTCTGCTTACATAATTATCTCAGTATTACTGCAGCCACAACTGTCTAAATCCATCTCTGTTCTTGTCTTACCTAATTAGCAACTTTTACAAAAGCGCATTTCATTAAAAGAAATTTATAAAGATTTGTCATTCTAATTTCAGTTGAGTTCTTATTCACATTTTTAAATGGATATAAATTCTTATGATTTAAACAAATTACTGTTATGGCAATATACAGTTACATCAGTCAAGTAATGAGTATATTTCCTTTTGAACAGTGTCATCCCCTCCCTCATTCTCTCCCAGTTTTTCTCCTCCCAACTTCTCTTCCTCCAAAGTTGTATAGTTCATTGTGAACATAGTATCTAATAGGTTTCACTGCTGAATTGATTCACCCTTTATCCACCATTTCTGTGCTTCACCTTTCCCTCCCCAAATCAGATAAACTTATATACATGACAAAGGGTATAGAAATCAAGGGAATTAACCAAAGAAAAAAAGGAGAAAAGAAAAGAAGAAATAAACAACTGAAAGCAGTATAATAAAAAAAAAACGCTTATCCATTTCTTGAAGTTCATTTTGATAAGCATTATTTTATATGATCTTATATACATAGCTATTGAACCCTTGCGATCCTCTCCTAAGAATGTCCTCCTTTGTTCTCACTGTGTGAATGTTGTATGTTTTATAAAGGATTCATTCATAGATTTCAAATGACCATTAAGAAAATATTGAAAAACACAACTATACCATCTATGGTCTGATGAAGCACTGGAGTCAAAAGATCCTGATATTCCTTTACTTGTTTGGGATTGCCTCTAAAAACTCCTGAAACACAAGATCCAACAGAAGCTCTATTAAAGCTTATAAACCATTTTGTAATTGTATAGTGTACATAATAAAAAAATTGAAGAAAAGTAATGCAAATGTGTATGATATTTTTCCAAAAACTTATAAGTAATGCAATTTTAGCATATAGAATGGAAAATTAAATTTTAATTAAAATTTCTCTATGCTTATGCTTAAGTATTATAGATATCCAATGTCATGATTACAGTATTCATAACTTATTAAAAACTTCTTTGTAAGTATGAGTACATTAGTATCATTATAAAAGACAGAGTAGTTTGAAAATTTTTAAATGATTTAAAATTCACTCAGTAAGCAGAAAAGTGCATAGCCATTAAATCACTATCTGCTAGTTGAAATGAGTAATATATCATTTTTTCTCTTCTTTAAACCATTTACATTCTATAGCATAAACAGCAAGAAAGAGCTTACTTACCATCAATCATCATGTAAAGGAAAAATATAGGAAATTCACATTCGATGTCATCAAATAGCTAAAATAGAAAACATTTAAAATTTTCATTAACAAATTAAAGCAATTTTATTTAGACTTATGTAAAAGATTTATGTACAGTAATAATTTAAAGTTGGGCCTGATTTTATAAGTAATCCATGTTCTTTAAAACACTTCTCAGGACTGTAACTCAAAGGCTTATTCATTAAACATATATTCATTAAATTACAGTGGGACAAAGGGTGAATCAATTCAGCAGTGAAACCCACTAGACACTATGTTCAAAATGAACTATACAACTCTGGAGGAAGGGGAGTTGGGAGGGGGGAAACTGGGAGAGAATGAGGGATGGGGTGATACAGTTCAATGCCTAATGTCTAACACCAATTAGATGGAGTAAACAGCTACAGTGCAGTCAAATGTGTATGTGTGGGATATCAGGCACACAAGAAAAGATATATCTGATTCTCCATGATGGTTGGGAAGGGTCTATACAAAAAAGATGCTTCAGCTAAAGGCTGTTAGGTTGCACTGAAGAGAGGAGCTAAGGGAACTCCACACTGAGGAACTAACATGCTAAACTACACACACATAGAATTGCAAAGTGTAGAAAAGAAACTACCAGTAGAGTTCAGTATTTCTAGCATAAATGAAGTAGTAGTAAAAACTGAAGCTCAACAAGCTGGTCCAGGAAAGCCAAATCAATAAAGACCTTGTCAGAGAGAGACTTCAATCAGGAAGTATACAGGGAAACTGGGGGAGCAGGATCAGATTACTTACTATATTCACTTGCCAGTCTATGCAGTTAGCAGTACTAAAGTGTCAAAGGACAAGAAATCAGAAAAAAGAGATTATGCCTAATAAAGTAGAATGTTTCAAGTTTAGTAGTACAGATATTTGGGGCCAAATAACTGTTGCAGGGGCTGTGCTATATAGTACAGGATGTTTAGCAACATCTCCAGCTTCTGCTTTCCTGATGCCAGTAGCACCCAACAAAGTGATAACCTAAAATGTCTCCAGATAGTGTCAAATGACCCCTAGGAAGCAAAACTACCCCAGGCTTCACCACTAGGTTAAGCCAAGGACTAAAAAAGAGCAAAAAAAAAAAAAAAACCTTAAAGAAGAGACATTTTTTTTTTTTTAGGATTTTCATGGTGACTAAACTTGCCACCTTCTATGACTAACAAAGGTGGATGATTGCCAAAGAGAAGCTAGAATTACTGAGGCTGGCCAGGGCTATGACCTTTAGATATTTGTAAACTGTAGGGAACCTAAGTGAAGATGTGTGGACCACAGCTATATATACTGGGAAGAGTAAAGGGAGGGAGTGTGACTAAGGGATAGAGATCATTATTAGCAGAAGAGTTGTGAGAATATGAATAGAACCAAAGCAGAAAGGGATGAGGATGGATCACAGGAGAACAACAAGAAGAGGTGGAAGAAGAGGAATATGTAAAACTGACAGAATAAGTAGAGGACTAGGAAAAGAATGGGGTAAAGGCAAAGAAAAATGTTCCAAGAAAGAGAATCCAGAAAACATACCCAAATATGAAGAAAAATTTAGGTGAAATAAGGTCTGAAAGGCATTTATTATGACTCAGTTGTTAAAAATGAATGAAATCCAAACATCTACTGGACAGTGTTTGAGAGAAGAGCCAGATCACAAGGACGCAAGGTGAATGAAAGGTTAGTAGGCCTGTATACCAAGAATAGAATGAGGTTCTCAGAGGGTGACTACAAATTCTAAGAATAGGAGGCAGACAAATAAGATTGAGGAAGGGTTTTGTTTCCTTAATAATGAATATCAATGTATCTATTCTGCGTAGAAGGTAACCGGAGAGCAACATAGAGGGAAAGTAGAAGAAAGAAAGATGAGGAAGAGAAAAAGATATACATTATTTTACCAGAAAAAAACTCTCAGTGAGAATGCCAAGAAAGTAAAAGAGAAGAGAATGGTTAGGTAAATGTAGATTGAGCCTAAAAAGGAAACAGTGTGCCTCTTGTGAGACAAGAGAGATGAGGTAGGTACAGATGGAAAGAAAGACTCAATGGAAAAGACCACACAAAGTCAATCCAGTAGAAAATGAAAAGTAAAAGGCCCTGAACTTAAATACAAATGGGGGAAAACTTTTGGCCCAATGTAGCAGACTACCACTCTTAATACTGTGATAAAAAAATTTTAAACTATACACAATAGAAAAAATCCTAATGCTCCTAGGATTTAACTTAATTTCATAGTCATCTGTGAAATTAAATATAATGATAAATAGCTTGTCTAGTTGTTCTGCAAAACTGTGCTAATTGCCAATGATTATAAAGATAATGTTGCTTGGACATATTCTATTCACAGATACACAGGGACTTCCACATATCGTATAGTTACAAAATTGTCAATTTCCATTAAAGCAATGAACATGGATGATTACTTTTGGGGAGATATAAACCTAGAGGTAGTGATCTGTGTATTTTATCTTTCTTTTTATTTTGGTAATATGGTACATTTGAAATACAAATGATTAAAATTAAAATATTTAGCGGACTATTTGTCAAAGAAAAAATTTAAGTGAAATTTAAAAGAGGAGAATGGAAAGGGCTACTAGTTTTAAGGAGAATCTATACTTAAAATGAAAACTAGAGCCCAAATACAACTTGCTGTTACATAAGGAACTGAAAATCTGATAGAAAAATTGTCCAACCAAGGACATGGACTACTATGAGCAAATGGATCTCATGGAACCAAGAACTAAAGAGTTACTGAGCATTACTATGTATAAAGTAACATTCTAAGCACTATTAAAATATATATATATATATATATATTAAGTCATTCAATTTCCACAAGAACCTCATGGTATGAGCACAATTAGTATTTCAATATGAATAATACTAAACATAGAGGCTAACTAACTTTCCCAAGGCCACATGGTTAAGAGTGGTAGAGCTAGAACTCAAATTGAAAAAGCCAGACTCCTAAGTCTGTGCCTTTGATTTCTCTCATGTACTATTAATATAGAATTTTAAAAATTGTTTTTCAATTATATTTTCATTATCTTTATATATACAAAGGAGTTAGCATTCAACAAATCAGTTTATAAATATAATGCATCTTGTCTTGATTGATATGACTTCTCTTATAAGCTATAAATGTGGAATTTTTTTTTTTTTGATCAGTTGTGGGCCTTGAACGCTGGGCTTGGGCACTGTCTCTCAGCTCAGAGCTCTACAACATGAGCTACAGCACCACTTCCGGTTTTCTGGTGGTTTATTGGAGATAAGAGTTTCACTGACTTTCCTGCCTGGGCTGGCTTTGAACCGCGATCCTCAGATCTCAACCTCCTGAGTAGCTAGTATTACAGGTGTGAGCCACCAGCGCCCGGCTAATGTGGAATATTTTTGATACCTTAATTTCAGCTGGTTTGTAGTAGCGTCGGTTGGGATCTTCCAATGATGTTCTATATCCATCTCTCAGGAAACGCTTAAACCCATATTTTCCTTTTAATTTTCTAACCACTTTATCAAGTGTCTGTCTGAAGAGAACTTCATCATCCAGAGCAAATGCAGGATAACTGATGCAAGGAAGCAGGGCAGCATCTGTGTTCTAGAGCCAAGAAGAAAGTGTGTGCAGTTAGATAACTAGCACTGCCCAAGGAGAATCAAGGAGATAAAAAGCCAAATGGCACATGTTTCAGTGAATATGGCTGAGAAGGTAAGATTTTATTGCTATCAAAGCAAATAATCAGAGGTCAACATTGGCTCCAATTAATTCAAGCAGTATGTAAAAAAATAATGCCTAATAGTTATCACAGCTCAATTTATCATTGCAATTTGTCTAAAGGTCTAACACCAAGTTGAGTAAGTTAACAGGCATAAAAATTTTATTGCAGCCAGGTGTCAGTGGCTCATAATCCTAGCTACTCAGGAGGCTGAGATCTGAGGATAGCAGTTCAAAGCTATCCTGGGCAGAAAAATCTGTGAGTCTCTTATTTCCAATTAACCACCAGAAAACCAAAACTGGCACTGTGGCTCTGGTGGTAGAGTGCTCGCCTTGAACTGAAGAGCTGAGGGACAGTACCCAGGCTCAGAGTTCAAGCCCCATGACTGACAAAAACTAAATAAAAAAAATATATATATAGCAAAAGTAATTAAAATTTATATTTTAGACGTTTATTGATTTTAAACATTTTTCATAGAACTTGCATATCATGTGAACAAAACTTAGTATATATTTGTAAGAAATTTGTGGAAAATGTGCACAAATATTGATCCTAGGATTATATTTGCATAGGAGAATGAGTTGTTAGCATATAATACTATTATTATTAGTATTTCTTTTACTATATTATTAGTATTTACTATATTATTAGTATTTCTTTTACTATAACCTTTATTATTTATGTAAAAATTATTTTAAAATAGTCAAATTGAGGTTGGGGATTTAGCTCAGTGGAAGATCACTTGCCTAGCAAGTGTAAGAAACTGAGTTCAGTCCTTAGCTTGGGAAAAAAAAGCTAGCATAGTCAAATTATTCTTATATTTTAAAAAAATAATAGAACCAGAAATAACCCCTAGAAAAACATACAATCAGGTATAGTAAACACACAAGTTCATCAAGTAAAAGAAAAAGTGAATCAAATAAGAGAAAAAACAATAAGAAAACTATTCAAAAGAAACATATTATAAAATCTTTCCTTCCCTCCCTTCTTCCCTCCCTCCTTTCCCCCTCCCTCCCCTCCCTTCCTTCCTTCCTTCTTTCCTTCCTTCCTACCTTCCTTGGTTTCTTCCTTCCTTCCTTCCTTGGTTTCTTCCATCTATCCCTTTTCCTTTTATTTTTCTTTTTGTCTTTTCTGCTTTCCATCCCTCTCAGCTCTTCTTCCCTCCATCCCTCTTTCCTTCCTTCATTCTTTTTCTTTCTTGATATTGTCTCTCTTGCTCTGCTATATGGGCTGGTCTTGAACTTTTGGGCTCAAGTGATCCTTCCACCTCAGCCACTTAAGTGCTTTAGACTTGAAGCAGGCAATACTATTCCTGGCTCAAATATGTTTCCTAATGTTCCATGACCAAAAATCCATATATATATATATATATATATATATATATATATATATATGTATGTATGTATATGAGAAATAATGTCAATTTCTTTTGCCTTACAAGAGAGTCACATGACAAAGCTGGTTTTTCCACACTTCTAAAGTCCAGACAGGTAGAGATAGTTACTAACCCCACCCCTCCACATGTCAGTTCAGCCATGCTGCTGTTTAATCTTATGATTTTTGTTTTAATAGTTAGAAAGGGGGGAGTTCATTGTGACATTTTCACATATGTTTACAGTGTGTTTCAGTCAGTCTCACACTGTCCTTTTTCCTTTCCTAAAATAATTTTAACAGGTTTGTTTTATTTTTATACATGCAACCAATCTACCTTTTCCATATTCATCCTTTTTTATCCTCTTTCTTAGCTCATGCCCTTCCAACTAGATCCCCCACCCTTCCACCACCAACATGTGTTTCTCTTTCCCATACCCACACCTCACCTTATTGCTCAACAGCATTCACTGAGTACTATCTTTTTGTTTGTAACACTACTTTGAACTCAAGGTCTTGTACTTGGCTCTGCAGGTGCTCTACCACTTGAGTCATAACCCAACTCTTTAACTTTTGTTATATTTGTAATGGGGTCTTATTGTTTGGCCAGGCTGGCCTAGACTAAGTTTCTCCTATCTTCTTAACTATGCCTCCCTTATAGATAGGATGACAAACATGAACCAATATGCCCAGCTTTTTATTGGTTGAAATGGGTCTGACTACATTTTTGCATGGAGTGTCCTCAAACAGTGATCCTATTGAGTACCTTCTGAGTAGCTTCCATTATATATGTGAGTCACCATTTAGCTTATGTCTTATTATCTTTCTGGATGACCTATAATATTTAGAGTGCTTTACTCTGGTACGGTTTCATATTTGCTGAACCTGTGCTCTACCACCTGAGGCACATTTCCTATCCTCTTTGCTCTAGTTATTTTTGATATAGGAGTCTTGTAAACTTTTCTGCCTGGTCAGGTTTGGAATTATAATCCTTCTATTTTCAATTTCCCACACAGTAGGGATGATAGGTGTGAACCATTGTACTTGACTACTAGTTAAGATGCTTATGGTGGACTTGAAGCCTGATCATTATGCTTTTAGACTCCTGACTTGCTAGGTTTAAAGGCAGGAGCCACTGGTGCCTGAGAGTTTCCTTGGGAAACAAGATAGAAGTATATAAAAAATCATAAATAACAGTCCATTAAAGTTTGTTGTAAGGCATCTCACATGAGATCTTGATTCTCTGGGTAACAGTGAGCACAAAGTTTGCCTGTTGCGATTGTGAGCATCAAGATCTACAAATATAACTGACCACGAACAGCCCTGCGAGGAGAAAAACAAACACATGTCAAGGAATTATAAACTACTTGGTATTCGTACAGTAAGACATTTCACAAAAAATACTAAAATGTATTGCACTTGAGTATGGGATCACTAAAAATCTTCAATGATTTTTGTATTTTTAATATTTCTTGAATTTCTTGCAATGAATGTATTTATTATATAATAAATCATTAAAGTGTTATTTTTATACTTTTGCTATTTTCCATAGTTTTCTTATAAATTACAATGTATTGATTTTACAATATAATGAAGTGCATTTATTACAATGAATATCTACATAGTTTAACATAAATAAAACAAGAAATCATTTGGATTCATAAAATCTCAGTTGTATATTCCTTATAAAGAATCTTGACTATTATTCATCATAGTGAGAGCTAAAAAAAACCCCCAAAATTCATACAGAACTACAAAATGCCCTTAGTAGCCCAACTAAGACTGGAAAAAAGTACAAATACTTAAAGATAGTGAAAATATTTTTTAAAGCAATGTGGAAAGTAGTACAATCTCAGATTTCAAACTTTACTACAGAGCTATAGTTTAACAACAACACAAAAAAAGCAAAAAAGATGAATACTGCCACAAAAAGCGACTTGAAGACTAATGGAATAGATTGGAAAACCCAATGGAATGGATTGGAAAACACAAAAACAAACATATACCTACATCCATTAGGTATTTGAAAGGTAGGCAAACTTTACTACAGATCTATAGTAAAAACTAAATAAAAGCTTAATACTGGCATAAAAAGAGACTTGAAGACCAATGGAATAGATTGGAAGACCTAGTAACAAACTTACATACCTACATACCTGTTATTTGAAAGGAAGCTAAAACGTATGTTAAGAGAAAATATTCCCTCTTCAACTAATGGTGTTCGAACAACTGGACATCTATATGCAGAAGACTGAAACTAGATCCTGTATACTAATACCAATTGAAAATGGACTGTCAATGTGAGACCTGAAACCTTGGGGCTACCAGAGGAAATGTAGGAGAAACATTAGATCCTATGGGCAAAGATAGGAATCTTTGAGTAGAGTTCTAGGAGCTCAAGAAATTGGAGAGAATTGACAAATAGGATTGTATCCAGCTAAAAAATTTCTGCACAGCTAAGGATATAGTTTAAAAAGTGCTACAGAATGGGAGAAGTTACCAGTTATACATCTGACAAGTGCTTAATATGAAGACTATACAAAGAATTCAAGAAACTAAACCCCCAAGATTAATAACCCAATTAATGAATGGGAAAAGGAGACTTTCAGAAGTGGAAATAACCACTAAACATGAAAAAATGTTCACCATCTCTGCCTATAAAGGAAATGTAAATCAAGACATTAAGGCCAGGTGCTATTGTCTTGTGCCTGTAATCCTAGCTACTAGCTTCAAAGCCAGCCCAAGTACAAAAGTCTATGTGACCCTACTCTCCGATTAATCACCAGAAAGCTGCATGTGGGGTTGTGGCTCAAGTATTAGATCTCTAGCTGTGAGCAATTAAAGCACAAGGATAGCACCCAGCCCCTAAGAACAAGCCACAGAACCTGCACACACAGAATCAGAAGGAATCCTATTATACAGTTGGGAGGAATGTAAACTAGCATAACCACTTTAGAAGGCAGTTTGGAGATTCCTCAGATAATTAAACACAGAACTACCCCATGATCCAGCAACATCACTCTCTAAACATCTATCCAGAATATTACAAGTCAAGATATAGTAAAGATACCTGTATAAAATCATTTAAATAGGGATACAGGTAGATCCATTGCAACAATGAGATGTACAAGTTGTTATGTGGAAAAACGAACTTTACAACTTTGGTGGTGGGGGGCGGGGAGGATGGGAAGGGATGGGAAGGGGAAACAAAGGAGGAAGCTACAATGTTTGATAAGAAATGTACTCATTATCTTGCCCATGTAATTGTAACCCCTCTGTACAGTATTTTCACACACAAAAAAGATACCTGTATATCCACTTTCATTGCTGAACTATTCATTTACCATACCCAAGTTATTGAAACAGCCCAGATACCCTATAACAATGAATGGATCAAGAAAATATGACACACACACACACACACACACACCATATAATTTTACTCATCAATCAGAAAGTGAAAGAGTAACAGGATGTCACGCAGAGAAATGGATGGATCTGGAAAAAATTGTATTATGTGAAATCAGACTCAGAAAGAAACTGTGCATGTATTCTTTTATATGTAGAAGTTAGATCTAAATTATAATGATATATTTA